GAATATCCCTAGCCCTCATGCACCTACGAGTTGTAAATTATCGTATAAAAAGACCAAAGTCGATCGTTTATTATATATTATTTATGTTTATAATTATATTTGCTTTTTTTTGTTGTTGTTGTTGTTGTTGTTATTTATCTAGCATTATTTAAATAATTTTCGACTCAATAAAATTTTTATGTAACGATTCATTTAGAATTTTGCTTTCGTATTTTTCCATGATTATATGGACGCGCATTTTAACCAGTTTTAGCCATTTTATTTGTCAAAAATAAATAAATAAATCCATGTGTGTATGTATTTACGTATAAATTTATTTATTTATAGTACATAAAAACGTGAACGTCGTTAATTAAAACACGAAACGCGATTCTGTTGAATTATCAATACCTTAAAGCTCAAAGATAATTAAATATACATGTATATATTGTAATAACGAATTTCAGTGATTCGCAAGAGCGATAAAGGCGCGATAAATGGCCTCAGGTAACCCACCAGCATTCGATAACCGGCTGTTGAATGATTACCCTCAACTTAGTCTATTTAAACATTCAGGCGCAATACTGCCCTCAATTTAATCAACGAAATTAATTTATTAAAATTATTTAAAACAGTTCATTATTGTTCTACCTCATTAGTCGAGAATAATTTTAAATCTTGCGATTGGTGTCACCGTATTTGTCATTATATAATTAATAATTAATAATTAATAATAATAATAATAAACAATAACGAGCGTCTATAATCTATATAATGGTAATTCTATTTGTAACTTCGATAGAGCTTGCTTAATCTCTCGCTTTAAATCCTAACTACAAAAATTATTCATTGTTTATTACGCAAGTTAATGATATTCTCTCTATATATATATGTATGCATTTAGTACTTGTATCTATTAACTTTGTTTCAAGAGGATGATACTCAGTAATTTGATAACAGATAACAGACAATTAATAAGATAAAACGTTAAAAGTTTTGCTGGCGGACGCAAATCTTATTTGTCAACAATATCATCGTCTTCCTTACAATTTAAATTCATTAAAATAATAATAATTATCATTATTATTATTTACAATAATAATAATATTCATATATATATTTAATATATATATATTTAGATAAAATTTTTCGACCACGATAGATTATATGAATTATCTTTTTTTCAACAATCTAATTTAACCTCTTAAGATATATTTTTTATACTTAATCTTTATATATAATTATCTCTTTTTCTTTCGTCTTATCTCACTTGTTCTCTGTCATATATTATATATGTGGGTATATTGTTTATGCAATATTATTATTTATAAATATACAATTATTTTTATATTTTGAAGAGTGGTGAGCCAGCGCCATTATTAACTTATACGTTGATTGTAAAAACAATCCCAAATTCGTCATCATAAAATTCTATTTCTTTTTATTATACACATATATATATATATTATATATATATATATATATATATATATATATATATATATATATA